GTTGTATATTTCATTTCTTTTTATGCAAAAATATACAGATTTTATATGAATGAATAATTCACTAATCTACCTGGAATTAAAGGTGTTAAGGGTGTTAAGCCTTTTGTTTCTGATAAGACAGAGCTGAGCATATAACTAATGTCTCTGTTTGCAATGTGACAAATAAATGACATTAGACATTCAGAAACCTAGTCTGCAGTGAGGCAAATCCCCAATCAATTTTTTATCCATTGTTAGGAAAATTCACAGGATTTTTTTTGTATACTGGATTTCTATGTTAAAACTCCCAAGATCAAATTTTTGCCAAGAAAATTTATTTTTTAAATATGGATAAGCTTCTCTGTTCAAATTTAAATGTCATTTTTTGGTTCTAAGGTAAGATAGCTTGACAGGGTGCTAAAAGAGCAGCAGTCTGAGAAATATGATTTACAATAAATCTTTTAAGAAATGAATTTAAAAAGCCTGCCAAAGAGCTTCTCAAATAACTCCCCATGCTTAAGTTCCAATCTTTCCAAAAGACATTTGCAATAATATTTTCCTTTTTGAATAGCTTTTATTTTTTAGAGCACTTCTTGGTTCACAGCAAAATTGAGCAGAAAGTACAGAAAGTTCATATACCTCCTGCCCCCACATATGGACAGCCTCCCCCACTATTAAGGTCTTCCACTAGAGTGGTACATGGTTGAAACTAGAATGATACATGGATGTTACCCAAAGTCCACAGTGTACAGAGGGTTCACTAGGAATTGTACATTCTATGAATTTTGACAAATGTATAATGATATGTATCCACTATCATAATATCATACAGAAGTTTCCACTGTCCTAAAGTCCTGTATGCTCTGAACATTTCACTAACAATATATATTTTTAAAGATTTATTGATGCATACAAGATCTGCGGTACAGGCCAGAGGTGTAGGGGGTGAGAGGATTCACCAGAGACAGAGTGGGGAACAGAACAGGCAGATCTACTGACATACGCTGCTAAGGGGAGCAGCAGGTGAGACAGGAGAGGTCTGCTGCGCCATGTGGGTTGCTCCCTGGCAGGCCGGGGATTGAGCTCGTGCTGCAGAGGCTGTGGACAGCTTCATAGGTTGCGTCTTAACCCATTGCTCCACCAGGGAGACCCTTACTAACAATGTTTTTTAAGGGAAACTTCTGTCGTTTTATTGGGAAAAATTTTTAAATGATCTTCTAATTATTGTCTATAAGGCCCTCTACGACATCATAGAACTCTATTTCCATGGGTTCCAAGGCCTTCCTGCTTCAAGGCAATAAGGGTGTAATGCTGCTATTTAGGGATGTGGTTAGTTCTTTATATTCTCCTCTGCACTGTGTATGTGTGTACGCACGCGTCGGGGGAGGGGGGTTCAGGAGGGACACAAAGAAATCAAGGAGAAGTTAAAATCCAGGTATTTGCTATCTCCTCTTGAATGCTCTGCTTTCAATTAAGTTAACCAAACTTGTTTTTTCCTAAATATGTAGCCTTGGTAAATTTACCCTTTAGAGTCAAGATCTTGGCCTTTCAGATGTATAGAATTGGGTTATTTAAACTAAAAATTTCAAGTTCCTCTATGTGTTAGGCACTTTGCCAGAGATTTTACAGACCTTATCTCATTTCTTCTGCTCAGCAGTCCTTGAGGTAGGTCCTATTTTTTAATCTTCATTTTACAAAGGAGATGTGAGGCTTGATTTGAGAGAGAGAGCTCTTATCACTTGATTTGAACAGGAAACCACAGTTATAGGTCTGAGTTAGGAGTTAATTCTATTGCCTGAGTCCCTTATTATTTTGTTTTTTCCTCCCCCTGCTTTGTAAGTGTCATCCAGTAGAACTATCTGCAACGATGGAAGTACTTTATGTCTGTCGGGTAGCCATGTGGCTATTCAGCTCTTGCAATGTGGTTGGTGTGACTGAGGAACTGCATTTTTAATTTAAGTAACTGTGGCAAGTGGCTACCTCTTTTGTCAATACAGTTCTAAATCAATGGTCTCCAAATTGGGGTGCAGACAGCGCAGTGAGGGCACAGAATATAGAGTACAGAAAGAAAATACATACGTTTTAAATCATTATTTCTGGGGTGTGTGTGTTTTTTTTAAAGATTTATTTATTTATTTATACAAGCACTGGGTACAGTCAGAAGCGCGGGAGGGTGAGAGAATTCACCAGAGCCAGAGCGGGGAGCAGAGCAGGCAGAGGGACTGAAGTACACTGCTGAGGGGAGCAGCGGGCGGCAGGTAAGGTCTGCGCGCCATGTGGGACCCTCCTCCGGTGGCCGGGAGCAGCCGGGGATCGAACCGTCGCTGCAGAGGCTGCGGGCAGCTTCGCAACCCAGCGCTCAACCACTGCGCCACTGGAGAGGCCCTCTGGGGTGTGTGTGTTTTGTAACGTACCTAGCATATTGGGAAAATAATAGATGTGTGTATATATATATATATGCATACCAGCAATATATTATATATGTTATATGTAATTTAAATATATTATATAAAAAAATTTTATTCAATACTTATATAGCATTTACCATGTGCCAGGCATTATGTTTTACAAATATCTTTACACATGTAAAACTATTTTACAAATAAAAACTCATTTAATTATCATAGTGACATGTAGGTGAATATTATTATTATCCTCATTTTACAGATGAAGAAACTAAGGCAGTATTTAGATGTTGCCAAAGCTAACAGGTAGTTGGTGGTAAAATCAAGATTTGAGTCCATTTTGGCTTCTAAGATGAGAGTTAGGGTAAGCTAAATAAGTAGGATGGGAATGGGAGAATTTGCAAACATTTTTACTGATGGTTGAATGATCAAACATATTTGATAGACTAATGCTCTAGAGGAAACCTTGATAAAGATTCAGATGCAGCAATTCCTTGTCTCAGTTTTGGAGACGATCAATTGCATCCTTTTTCCACAGGTGAATGAAGCAGATGAAACTGAATGAAGGAGGGGGGTAGGTTGATTGCTAAGAAATGATTCCTGGTGACATTTGCACTTGTCTACAGAGACAACTACAGCTAGCGTAAGTAAAGGTTTACTTAATTGTGAACCTATAAATTTCCTCACTAAAAAAAGTTAAGCCTTATCTGCTCTGTTCTAGCTACTAACTTATTTTTTTTTTTGTTTTGGGCCTCTCTGGTGGCTCAGGGGTTAAGTATGAGCACTATAGGGTCTGTAGGCTGTTCCACTGAAGCATGAGTTTGAACCTAGCCAGGGAGCTACCCACACTGTGCAGCAGACCTCTCCTGTCTCCCCAGCTGCTCCCCTCAGCAGTGTGTTTCAGTCAATCTGCCTGTTCTGCTTCCCACTCTGTCTCTGGTGAGTCCTCTCACCCCACTCCCACCTTTGGCCTGCACCCTAGCTCTTCTATGCATAAATAAAATAAATTAAAAAAATAAAATTTTGTTTTCTGGGACAGTGAAATAGGGGAGAATGGGAGGCCAAAGACCTGAAGAGGGCAAAATCCCAAGCAGGTGCAAAGAAAGAGGTCAGAACCTGCTCTCTTTTCCTCTGTGCTCAACAACGTGCTGTTGGGTTGGTGGTGGCTTTCACTCAAAAACAAAGGCGAAGATTCCTGAAATAATGGATCGTCGTTTCCACCTCTTCCACTCCTTGTTTATCTTAGACATCTTTGCTTGTTCTCCACCAGTGTGCTTAGCAAACAGTTGCTGTGGTATAAATGAAGCGCAGCTTTAACCTTACATGCTATCATTAGTTTCCAGCAGGCAAGGCAGGTAGAAGAGGTTTTGTGGTGTCAGATAAAAGTTGTGGAAGAACCAGAGTTTTAAGGCTGGGAATAAAGGCACGCACTCGAAAGAAAGGACTATGCAGAGGACGAGGGAGTTGGGGCAAGGGGTGTTACGTGGTGTAGCCTCAGTTCCTTGGGTTTCAAGAGGTGAGGATTTTGGGAAAGCAAACGAAAGATGTGGCGGGCGGAAGAGCTGCGCTGAGGGTAGCAAAAAAAATACCTGCCTAGGCCACTCGGGGCTTCTAAATTCAGAGCCCTTCTTTGCTGGCTGCACAAATTTCTTGAATTTTTTTGAGAAAGCTAGATCAGTGGTGGGGACGATGGAGGCACAATCTTCCATTCTACCAGTTCCCCTAAAAACTTGGTAAAAAGATGAACACTCCTGTACCAGGGCTTGCCCCAAAGCAGGCCAGTCAAATAAGGAGTCCCACGTGCACCAAGCAACCTACCCAGCGCCCCGCGGCAGGCGGGGGCGTGGCTTCCGCGGTGGCCCCGCCCCCGCCCCACCCCGAGCGCGTCGCGCGGGGCGGCTCCGGCGGGGCGAGCGGAGCGGCAAGAAAGGGCTGGGAGCGCGCGTGGTGGGTGTGCTCGTGCCCGCGCGCGCGCGCCTGGCTGTGGGCGGCGGCGCGCTCGTGCGCGCGCTGGGAAGAGGCCAGCCCGGGCGGCAGTTGTGGGGTTCCCTGGCGGGGTCCGCGAGTCACCTGCGAGCGGCCGCGCCGCCGCCCGCCCGCCTGCCCTCGGCGTCCGGATCGCGCCGGCCGCGGGGCCGCTGGCCCGACGCGCCCTGAGAGGCCGGGGCGGGGGAGCGGGCAGAGTCCGCGCCCGGCGCCCGCGACGAGGAGTCGGACCTTCGCCGGCGACGCCGCCCGCGCCCGGCAGGGTAGGTGAAGCCGGGCTGGGGCTCCCGCCGGCCCCCGGCGGGCCGGGACTGAAGAAGCGAAACTTTCCGGCGCTCCCCTCCGCCGTCCCCGAGCCGTCAGCCGCGCGGGGAGGTGTTGTCGTCGCGGCGGCCGCGGCCGACGCCATGTTGGGGTCTGTGAGAAACGGGGCGCTCCCGAGCCGCTCCCCTCGCGCGGGGGCCGGCCCGCGGGCGCCGGAGGTCGGGGGCCCGCCGCGCCCGCCCGCTGGACGCCGCCCGGCGGGCTCGGGGGCCGCCCGGAGGGGCCGCGCCGGCGCGTGTCCGGTGCCGGGGGCCGCGGGGCGGGGGCCGGGCGGAGCCGAGGAGGGAGCCCCGAGGTCGGGCGAGAAGTTGTGGGGCGTGAGGACTGAGGTCCCCGGCGTGACCGAGGGCTTCTGAGGACCCCAACATCTTTCGAGCCCCAAAGTTTGCAGGGGCGAGGCATGGGGATAGGGTCACTCGCACAGTGTGTTTTTATGTGATTTGGGGCAAAAAAAAATGACTCCGTAGATTGGTTCCGGGAAACATGGGTTATTTGGACTCGTTGAAAGTTGTATGGGCTGTTGCCGAGTTTATTTCTTCTTTGAAAAGTGTTACTGAGGGCCAGGAAACCGCGACTCCCGGGGCTTGAGCACGCTCGTGTGTGCTGCGTGCCTTGCAGGAGCGTGTGTTTTTGGTGGAAATGAGGGAGTAGTGAGGACACCGGCCACTGAGCTGTCCTCTGTCATGCATGGACTCACACCGTGTGTAAGTTGACAGATACTCCCTTTGTTGTGTTTTAGTGCGGTGCTGAAGAGACTCATTAAAGAAAGATTTAGACAAGAACGTTGACTGGGAGACTTTTGAGGCATGTGCTGTTCTCTTAAGAAGAAGGTGAAGTGTTCTTGACATTGCCAAGTTTTTTTTCCCCCCCTCTCTTTGGTTTCTAAAAGGTGCATGCCTGACATGTTTAGAACATTTACTTTTTTCTTTTATACCCTGGTAGCTCCCGGGGTCCCCAGGTTAATTCAGTATTAACGAAGGCTTCTATTTTTAATCTCTTCGGGTCCTGATAGCATTAGAGGTGAATGGTGTTAAGTTACTGACTTGGAAAGCCCGTGTAATCCCCTAAAAACCAAAAACGTTTCCTGACCGACTCATCAAAACAGATTCAGCTTGAATTACCGCAGTAAATTAACATAAAGTAATTTAATTAATAGCATCGTAGCTTTAAAGTTCTGTTAAATGAACTGAAAGGACTCGGTCACAGAGAAGAGAACCCCTAAAACATGTCTTGGAGAATTTCTCTTTTTCATCTATAGGTAAAAAATGTTTGCTGGGATTTGATAATTTCCATAGATTTTTAAAAAGAAATACTTTTTTTGTGTTACTTTCTTGTCAGATGCCATTCATTATACATGTTTGTCTTTCTGGATTAAGAGTTATCCAGAAATGAGGGGACTTAACTAACTTCACAAATCTTTTAAGTTTTTAAGTGAGCTTTTGGGACTTGGAAGCCTTCTCATTTTTCCTTTAGCATAGTTTCAAAGGATATAGAACATTCCTGTGGAGCATTCTCCGTCCACTTTGCTGCCTCTGTTTTTGGTGCTCTTTCAGATTTTAATTTAGTTCCTGAGTACTTACTTCCTAGAGAGTTGATTTAAAAGGGTGCTTATGCTGAAGTTTTTCTTTTTAAAAATATTCAAACCTGTGCTCTGTAAAGCCTTTCCTGCCCTGTTCTTACCCTCATTTTGGCCCCAAGAGCAATTCACTTATCCCATGGCACCCTTGACAACAGGCACCCTATCACAGACTCTTATGCCTCTCTGTCCTTAGTGTGCCAGGCAGGAACATAGCAGATGCTCAGGAAAGGTTTGAATGGATGAGTACAGGTATGTTCTTTGTAAATATATTTAATGAATGTCCTATTAAATTGTAATTTCCATGAGCGTAGTGGTTAAATCTTCTCTAATCCCTTTTTCGGGAGGTGGTAGTGGTGGTGGTGGTAATTTACTTTGGCAACAGTAAATTTTGGCCTGGGGATACAGAATTTGAACCTTTATGAAATTTTCAAGTAGATAATGGACTAAAGTGTAATCAATAAAGAAGTTGTAGGTCAGCAAAAAGGGTAATGCTCGTAATATTAAAATGCAGTTGAATTTATTTGTACTGGATGGAAATAGAATTAATCCCTGAACCTTTTGAAGGTCATATTTACACATTTAAACTCTTTGATAGAGCAAATCTCACTTCTCTATTATTGTTTTGTCAGAATTGTGTTAGAATTTTTTTTGCCTTGCTTAATGAATAGCTTATAAAAATTGCTTTTCTACTGATAAGTTTATCTTTGAGAACCAGCTTAGTATACTAGCTTCATGCTTAATGCAGTGTGTGTGTTGGATTAACTGAATAAAATATGCTTAATAGATATGCTTTCAGAGTGCTAATTTAAGTTGCAAAACCTCTTCAGGTGAAGGTGTTCTGTAATGAAACTACTGTTGAATTTGGGGTTGATTCCCTACTCCTACCCATAATGTAAATTTCTCTTATGTCAGTCCATAAACCACAAACTGGTGTGCTCAATTTGGGAGGTCTTGGGGAGAAAATAGAGGCATTCAAGTAGTTGCTATGTTAGAGAAAGCAAGTTGATATAAGGTGGACAAAAACAAATCCTGAATCCTAGCTCTGCTGTTTATTAACTTCTGATTCTTGAACAACTTGCTTCACTTCTCTGTGTCACTGGGCTGATATGTAAAATGGACACAGAAATATTTGCTTCATCCTGTTGTATTTACTAAGATGTTTGTGGAAGTACCTGGTGCATGATATTCATTAATTTCACTGTCAGAGTGACAGTAAATTATATGGAATTACAGAATTTAAAATTCCAAAAGAGAAGTGACCTTTAGAAATATATGGACTCTCATTCTTGGCTACACACTAGAATTCCCTGAGAAACTTCTTGAAATACTGAAGCCTGAAGCTCCTTGGAAGTACTAACATCTAGAACAAATAAATCACTTTCTGACTTTGGGATCAAGGCACAGATAGTTTTCCTGTTTTCTTTTTTGAAAATAGGCCATCAGGATTGAGAACTATTGATTTAATTCAATCTTCCATCATCTTATTCTCTTCATTTTGTGGTTAAATAAAGTACAGAGAAGCTCAGTGCCTGCCACATCACTCTCAAGCTTGAAAGGATGCATTTGTAGCTGAAGAAAGCATAGAGGTTAGGGTAACCGTTACATTCACTTTGGACCACATTTGGAGTTCACTAAGTCCAGTCACCGTCAGCACTCATTTGACAGCCGGTAAGGATGACTGTGTTATTTTACCTTGCCATTCAGAATTCTCTAACTCTTAAACTCTGTGCTTAAGAGATGGTGATTGAAGGACCTGTCTTTCTGTTTCCCATCATACCTGATGAACCAGGCTTTGGTCCTCATTGTCACCTCCAGTTCCTCCCAGGCTGTTCATTTTCTTCCTTTTCAACCCTGAACTCTGTACTTCATGTTCTAACTATGAACTCACACCCAGAGCCTAGCCCCTCTTCTCCTTGACCTTTGTTGTATGATAACTTGTCAATTTCCAACTTGTAAAAATTACTGTTTACTTTTTGTACTTCTGCCCAGCACTCCTGAAAAAAATTGCAGCTGTGGTGACTTTTAAATATTTGTTTACCAGCTGTCCGTGTACTAGTTGCTTTTTAATCTTTTTCTCACCCGAAGTGACTCATTTTTTTTATTGCTTCTTCACTCTCACATTGCTTATCCGAGTCTTGAAACACTTGACTCTTAGCAGATAAACTTCTTTCTAAAGTGATTAAGATTTTATGATGTGAATTTTGTTTTCTTCTTCGCATCGTTTTTCAACTTTTTTCTTCAGTTTTCATAAATGAAACAATTTAATTTTTTTATACTTGCTTCATTTAAATAATAGTTGGGTGAAGTAAGATTTTTATATCCTTTGTTCATATTTTTATTAATTGTACCTATAACCGTGTTTAGTTATTACAGTAATATTTTTCTGTGGATTGTTTGCATTTTGTAACAATTAAAAATTAGCTTTTCTCTTTGTAGATGAGAGATTATATGTTTATAATAAAATGATCAGGCAGAATCAAAATAGTAGTACTTAGATACAGCCAGAAACCTATTTAATAAACTGCCTCATTTAACAAATTTCCACATTAAATATTAATCTGTGTTCTCTCAAGCTGTCTAAAAATCCATTATGTGGGTATTCCATAATTTATTTAACCTGTCTTCTATTGTTGAATATTTAAGTTGTTTTTGGATTTTCAACATTATAGACAAAGCCTCCGTGAACTTCTTCATGAGAGCTGTTTTATTTTTTTGTGTATATGGTGTGTAAACCTTCAATTGCCAAAATGGCATTTTAGAAAAATTATTCAAGTATATAGTTTCAAGACTATGAATGTCCATTTCCCCCCACATCTTAGAGTGCTGAATAATACATCATTTTAATTAATTTCTGTTTCTTTGATTATCCTTGAAAGCCAACACTTCTATTTACTGGTCATTTTCACTTATTTTTTAGAATCACCATTTGTATGTTTTCCCTTTTTTGGAGTATTTTGTTATTCTAGGAACCCTTTGTATATTAAATATGGTCACTCTTTTCTCTTGCAAACATTTTTCTTTGATCCTTTTTTCTTCTCAGTGTTGAAGTTGAAAATTTATGTGGTAAAATTTTGTTTCTTTTATGACATTTGGCTTTTTAATGTTGTATTTAACCATTCCTCTCTGTGGCTAGAAATTTAGGTTTTGGTTTTCACTATTAAAGCTAATGCACAGGGAAAACTTTTTTATATACAGTGAATTTTCTCCTGCCCCTTGGGATAATTTCTGTGGTTAAAATTTCCAGGGTCAAATATCAGTGCTTCTGAAATATTTTATTTTTTTAATTTTTTAATTTATTTATTTATGCATCCAAGACCTGGGGTGCAGGCCAGAGGTGCGGGGCTGAGAGGATTTACCAGAGACAGTGGGGAACAGAACAGGCAGATTGACCAAAGTACACTGCTGAGGGGAGCAGCGCGGGCGATACAGGAGAGGTCTGCTGTGTCATGTGGGTCACCTGCTGCTGATCACGCCATAGTGCTGATGCTTAACCCCTTGCGCCACCAGGGGGGCCCTCTGAAATATTTTATTATACTTACCATTAGTCCTTAAATTTTACCATGTGTTTCACTGCTTATTGTGACCTAAAATCATTTAGTCTCTGAGACTTATGAAACATATGAAAACATGTTGAAAAGATGCTTTGTGTCCTCCTGTCTCCCCTTCTTTCTTCTCTCCTGCTGTATAAATTAGGTGATGCCCAAAGGTTAGTCTTTTTTTTTTTTTTAAGATTTATTTATTTATGCAAAAACTGGAGTACAGACCAGAGATGTGGGAGGGTGAGAGGATTCACCCAGAGACTGAGTGGGGAACAGAACAGGCAGATGACCAAAAACACTGCTGAGGGGAGCAGCCGGGGCGAGACAGGAGAGGTCTGCCGCACCATGTGGGACTCTCCCAGGCTGGCCGGGAATCGAACCCGTGCTGCAGAGGCTGCGGACAGCTTCACAGCGCTGTGCTCAACCCGCTGGGCCACCGGGGAAACCCCCAAAGGTCTCCTCCAGTCTTCCACAGCACCAGCCAGCATCTGTTTGTGGATGACTACTAAATCTGTTTGTCGTAGAGCACCCTGGTGATTCCAGCATTTCTGTTTGTGTGAAAGATGTTAGTCATGTGGCTACCTTAGACGTACTTCAAGATTTCCTTCTCCCTCCTGAACCAGGACTGCCTAATTGCTTGTGCTTAAACCTAAGAAGTCATCTTACACTCACTTTCCTTCCACATATTCAGTTCATTCCGAAATCCTGTTTG